TCTGGGATCCTGTTCAATACATAAATGTACTAGTGCAACTAATCGGTCAAGACAAATAGTACGGTTGACACTACAACCGTTCCGATGGGTTGTTCAATTCCATCTAGGTTGTGAACCAACGATTCTTGTTTCGCAAGTAACTGATATAGTGATCTTCGGTACGCCCGATGACGACCCACTTATCTACATGCAAAACAACAGAACGTGGAACTTATTTAACCAAACATAATTCTCATTCATCAAGGAATAACAAGTGTAATATCCACTAAAGCAAAGCTTAAGTATATAACACCAACAAACGTCACTTACACCAAGGTACAAATATAGAAGTTCATCAGGAAGTGGTTTCTGCAACGTCGGTAACCGTGAGAGAACTTCTTTGATGTTGTCAAAAGCATTCTGACATTCTACAGTCCATTCGAACGGCTTCTTCTTTTTGATAGCATCAAAGAACGGCTTGCAATGATCTGTCGACTTTGAAATGAACCGATTTAGAGCTGCCAGTCGACCGGTCAAATCTTGGACACCCATAATAGATGTCGGGGGAGCTAAGCCAAGTATGGCTTGAATCTTGGCGGGATTGGCTTCAATCCTTCTCTGACTCACCATGTATCCTAAAAACTTCCCTGATCCAACTCCAAAAGTACACTTCTTGGGATTAAGCACCATAGAATACTCTCGGAGAATATCAAAGACTTTGGAAAGATGGGGGACATGATCAGAGGCCTGTTTCGATTTCACTAACATGTCGTTCACGTAAACTTCCATCGTGTGGCCGATCAAACGAGCAAACATCTTATTGACCAACCTTTGGTATGTGGCTCCTGCATTCTTCAATCCAAAAGTCATCATGACATAGCAATAAAGGCCTCGAGCCGAGTAGAACGAGGTATGTTCAGCATCATCAGGGTGCATGGGAATTTGGTTATAGCTGGAATAGGCATCCAAGAAACTCATGCGTTGGTGTCCCGATGTGGCATCTACCATATAATCAATGTGTGGAATGGGGTAGCTATCTTTCGGGCACGCTTGATTCAAATCTAAAAAATCTATGCGCAGACGCCAAAGGTCGGTGGCTTTCTTGACCAAGACAGGATTCGATATCCATGTCGGGTATTTGGCTTCTTTAACGAACTTATTGTCTATGAGCTTGTTCACTTCCTCTTCGAGGGCCTTCTGGCAATCTGGACCGAATTTCCGGCGTTTCTGGATAACGGGCTTGACAGTCTTATCCAAATTCAAGCGATGACATGCTTTTTGTGGGTCAATCCCTTTTATGTCTTCATGCTTCCAAGCGAATACGTCGGAGTTTGACTGAAGGAACTGAATTAAGCTTGACCAAATGGGTTCTTGTAGGTTAGCTCCAATACGCAATGGTTTCTCTTGAGTCGATCCATCCACGTAAATGGTTGCGACATCTTCAACTGGTTCCGCTCGGACATGATGATTTCCATCGTTGAACTGCATCCGTGGATCCATATCTTCGTGCATTTCTGTGTCTTTCTCATAAAAAGGTTGCTCTTGATCAAGGACTTCAGTTAATGGTTCAGGCAAAATCGACGTCATAGGGATATCAATATCCGTAAGAGGAATGTCAGTATCTGCTCGAGGCATGTCGGTATCTGGAGCGAACTGATCGGTTCTTTCAGCATTAAGAGTTGGATTGTTCAGCCCAACAGAGTTATCAGCATCTTGCTCTTCAATCATATGAAAGTTACGCGAGGTTGAGAGCAACATCAGACTTCGGGCTTCTCGTTGATCTCCGTAATGAGTGCCTTCTCCTTCAATGGTGGGGAACTTCATGGAATAATGAAAAATTGACACATCAGCACGAAGTTTGTAAAGTGCAGTTCGTCCTATTACAACATTATATTCATTTTGGACATCCAAGACTTTGAAAGTCTCCATAATGATCTTGGATTTTGGTCAAAAGCCACCAAACCGAATAGGGAGCAGTATTTCGCCGACAGGGCAGGAAATGCTTCCATTGAAACCTTGAATTTGGTCGTTGCAAAGCCTAATGTCTGTTGGGTCCAAACCCAATTTTTTGAACGTGCGGAGCATCAAAATACTTGGGTAAGCCCCTGTGTCGACCAAAATCCGATGAACAGGAATCCCTCCAATCGGGGCTGTTATAATAAGGGCGTCGGAATGAGGATGAGCATATAGATTGGCATCTTCGATACTGAATGTGATTGGACAATTTCGTTTATTGATAGTATCTCGAAGATCAACATTCATGACTCGTTTCTCGGCATTTTGTGCCTCCCGGGCATAGGCTTTGACTTTCCGTCGAGACGTATCCAGCTGTTTGTTATTGGAATTAACTCGAGGTATACAGTGTGAAGAGTCTAAGGCGTCATGTGTCCTGGATTTCCTGCAGCTATCAGTCGAGGTTCCAACATGAGTAGAAAACGTGAAAACCTCCTTGTCGTTTGCACGAGCTCTTTTCGGATTAACAGGTCGGTTATTATCATCTTTAGCATCTGAAAGATCCAAGGGCCTTCCTTTCCGACGATTATCGAAATTTTAGAACTTTTGAAGCTGAGGTTGTCCAATTAATCGTAAAAGTGCCGACAAAAGACCGAGACACTCATCGGTATTATGTCCCGGAGACTTGTGGTATGCACAGTATCGAGTTTTGTCCAGCTTGTCTTCAGGGGTTCTCACAGGCCTCGGGTCTGGAATAATCCCTTTTCCTTTCAGTTCTTCATATATGGTAGCTGCTCCGGCTAAATAAACGGCCTGATAGCCTGTCCTGACGTTGTCTGAATACTGATAACGGGCGGCCCTAGACTCTGGAGTGTTCTCATATCCTTTGGAGAAATTCCGAAACTGTGCTTTCCCAAAGTTCTTCTTATTCTTCTTTTTGGCGTCCGGCTCAGTCTTGTTTTCTTTCACCGAGAAGTCGAAACTGGGAACCGACATCGATTCCTCGGCAATAATGAATTGTTGAGCTCGCATAAGAAATTCTTGAAACGTAGCAGGTTTATTTTGGCACATGGTCCAGCGAAACATCGAGTTGGGCTTCAGTCTGGCAATTGCGGTTACCAACAGAGTCTCTGGGTGACAGGGCTCCATGTTTTGAATCCGGTCGTTGAATCGAGATACGTAGTCTTTAACAGTATCGTCGTCCTTTTGTACGATGTTGGTTATCGATTCTTTTGGGATGAGACAAATTTGAGCTCCGATAATGTACGATCGGAAAGCCGCACGTAACTGTTGCCACTTCCAAATTGAATGAGGTGGGAGAGTATAGTACCATTTTTGTGCTCGTGGCCCCAGTGTAAGTGAAAACATCCGACATCTCAAAGCGTCTGAGGCACCATGCAAATCCATCCAAGACGTATAATGGCCCAAATGTGCATCCGGATCCGACGTTCCATCATACATGCCAATTTGTGGGATTTTTACCTTAGCTGGGAGTGCTTCTGCGGTAAGTTCCTGAGCTAAAGGGGAATCAACTTCAACAATGACATTTCCCGACGTCGAGACATGTCGGGGAGAGTCTTCCTGCAACTTCTGTCGAGTCTCGAGTTCAGCCAAGCGTTTACGAAGAGTTTCAATTTCTTCCGCACTATGTCTTGAAATACGATTCCGTTCAATCTGGAGCCGCAAATCTTCACGACCATGAGGCACTGGTGAAGTAAGTCTAGGACGTGACGAAATTTGTTGATGATGAGCAGAGTGACTTTCAGCAGTCATTTCATGTACAGGGGGCTCCTCCGGGGCTTGATTGTTCGTTATTGGGTTAGCAGTTATACGAGTTAACTCTTCTCGATGGGGAGAAGTATGGTGAGGTTGTGACGTATCATGGGATGTCGCCGCATGCGTTTCGGGGTCATCACGAGTATGGGCTGGATGTTCTGTTGGATTAGTAGTTAATGGCATCGATAATGGTACCGTATTCGAGTTTTTGGGCATGGCTCGAGCTATCAACGAGGTTAAACCTTGAATAAACTCTGGGTTCTGAAGAAAGTTCGTGATGTTCGTGACTGGAGGAGGTGGTGTTGAACGGCGCGGAGAATGGTTAGTCGATTGGCTCTGGCCAGGATGAGTTGTGTGGTCTCGACCAGACTGCGACATGGTGGCTTCGAGCGTGAAAATGGCTTTAACGGCGAAAGTTAACTTCAAAACGTGATATGCCCCCCCCCTTCCTCTAGAGCCAAACTGTTGTCAAACGAAAATTATCAACTATATAATCGTCAGGGATTTGTAGTAAACTTAAGATAAATCAATAAAGGCTTATATGCACAGTGGAAGGAGATAGAATTTTTTTTGAATATTATTGTATGCGTGTCATGCTTGTTGGAGAACTGTTTTTCTCCTTTTATATTTATTTACAACATTTATCTAATACGTAATCATTACATGAGAATAGTCAACGGCGGCTGATTGCCATTCATCCTACTAACGCGCCACTTGGCCAGGTGTAATGATGAATTGTGTTGAGTTGGCACCGCCTTGTGGTGTCGGTCTCGTGAGTCATAGATATCGGTTCGTGTAGTTATAACCGATATGTCGTATCCAACATGTAGTAACCGACATGTCATAACCGACATGAGATATCGGTCGATTGATGAAGATGTCGGTTCTTGGTGAATTTTTACCCAAAATATGATTGTCTTGAGACTGGTGCTAGAACCTTGAGATCTGCAAAGGCATCATCTACTTTATCCCACTTCGATCATCCTTCTATTGAACATAAGCATCTGATCAGCATCGCCTAATTTGGTTTACTGAAAATGATGTCAAAAAGCCACTATTTTACCAATAAAATCGAGCCTCCATGATTAAATAATATTAATCTGATTGATCGATTTACCTCCCTATGTTTAAGATATAACGTCCGTTGATTAATTAAAGTACTGTCAAAATAATTAATCAACTTCTTATTCATTTCCGAAATTAGTACCAGCGCACTGGAACATAGTGACTGTAAATAATCTATAATAGTGCATCATAAAATTATTCTTACCTACCAAAATACCTCGTATGTCATCCTAACAGAATAGGAATCACTTGGTAAATCAAATAAATAAGAGATAAAAATATATGCCTATTTTATATTATATTACAGCTTAAGAGAACGCATCAATCACCGAAGGGCGAGGTTACAACAACGTTCAGTGAGTCTCATAACCTTTGCCTTCCGCGGTCCTGTTCAACACTTAACATAAGTGCCAGTGTAATCCTTTAGTCAAAGACCAACTGAATCGAGAATACACTACAGTCTTTTTCCAAGTGGGGTCTCACTGCCAGTCTAGACTGAACGAATAGTTTAGTCTTATAAGGAACCGATAGGTGATCTTTCTGTTCGAAACTCTTCGAACAACACTACCTCAATATAAGACATGGAGTATGTATTGCATAAATAAATAAACTGCAAACATATGTACTTTGACCAAAACATGATTGCCAGATCAAAATGGAATTGATAGAATCTGCAAAACATAGCTTTTACAGCATACCTCTAACAATCTCCCACTTATGCTTTATAAGCTCATGGCTAAACAAAAATAACCACAATTTCTTTCAATCTAATTCTCAAAGACTAGTCTCCTATGTTGCCCTAACATCTGACTCCCATTCCTTCTACGTGTCTCGTAAAGATTTTCGCCGGTAGGCTCTTCGTAAAAGGATCTGCTAGGTTGTCCTCTGATTGTATCTTGGCAACAACGACTTCTCCTCGTCCAACGATTTCTCGTATCAGGTGGTACTTGCGCTCTATGTGTTTACTCGCTTTATGAGTCCGTGGCTCCTTCCAATTTGCTACTGCTCCGCTGTTATCACAGAATACTGTGATTGCAGCTGGCAAACTCGATACCACATCAAGGTTGAGGAGAAAATTCCTGAGCTAGACAGCTTCTTTCGGTGCCTCTGAGGCTGCTACATACTCAGTCTCCATGGTTGAGTCCGCCACGCATTTCTACTTGACACTCCTGTATACTATGGCTCCTCCTCCTAAAGTAAACACAAACCCTGAGGTTGACTTGCTTTCGTCCCGGTCTGCCTGGAAGTCAGAATTGGTGTAACCCAACGGAAGCAATTCATCTGCCTGGTAAATCAACATGTACTCCTTAGTCCTACGTAGGTACTTGAGTATATACCGCAGACCAATATTCCGGTCCTGGATTACTCTTATATCTTGCTACCATGCCCACCCCATAATAAATATCAGGTCGCGTACACAACATAGCATACATGAGGCTTCCTACTGCTGATGCATAAGGAACTGCCTTCATGTCCTCTATCTCTTGAGACGTCTTCGGGGAGATCCTCTTAGATAGAGATTCCGTGCCGAAAGGGTAAATCCCCTTTCTTGGAATCCTGCATGTTGAAACGCTTTAAGACAGTGTCTATGTATGTGGATTGGGATAGGCACAATTTTCTCTTCTCTCGGTCGCGAATGACCTTGATTCCGAGAACATGTCCTACTTCACCCAAATCCTTCATATCAAAATGCTTGGATAACCATACCTTTACGTCTGACAACATCTTCACACTGTTTCCAATGAGAGGAATATCATCCACGTACAGCACTAGAAACACCACCACGTTTCCATCACTTTTCTTGTACACACAGTGCTCATCCGGACATTGGGTAAATCCATACGATTGAACAACCTCGTCAAAACGGATGTTCCAAGACCTCAAAGCCTGCTTCAGCCCATAAATGGACCTCTTCAGCTTGCAGACCAGATGCTCTTGGGCCTTTGCAATGAATCCTTCTGGTTGCTGCATATAGATGTCCTCGTCCAAGCCTAGCTTTGAAGGTCTCAACCTTCCCATCTGCTTCTCTCTTTCTCTTATAGACCCACTTGCATCCAATGGCGCGAACGCCACTGGGTGGCTCTACAAGATCCCAGACCAGATTAGTGTCCATTGACTCTATTTCAGATTTCATCGCCTTTTGCCAAGACTCTACGTCCCGATATTGGAGTGCCTCATTGTATGTCCATGGGTCGGATTCAAGAACGTCCGGGACGGCCTCAGAAGACTCTCCCAGACCCATGAACCGTTCGGGTTGTCGGACAACCCTCCCACTACGATGAGGTACTACCTGATCAGGTGCATCATCAGCGATACGTGTTGCAGTACTTTGTGGTGTAACATCTAGTGCACTCGGTATCGAAGTACTCACTCCCTTTAACTCCTCAAGAACATGTATACTACTGGGCTTATGATCTAAGACATAGTCTTCTTCCAAGAACCTAGCATTCGTGCTAACAATTACTTTCTGGTCCTCGGGATAATAAAATTGACCACCTTTCGTTTCCTTAGGATATCCCACAAACAGCCTTACTTCTGATCTCGGTTCCAACTTATCAGTATCGGTTCTTAGCACATGTGCTGGACTACCCCAAATCCTGAGATGCCTTAGACTAGGCTTATGCCCAGACCACAACTCCAATGGTGTAGACGGTACGGATTTAGAAGATATTCTATTCAGAATGTATACCGCTGTTTCTAGGGCATATCTCCAAAACGAATCTGGTAAACAACTATAACTCATCATTGCCCTAACCATTTCCATAAGAGTCATGTTCCTCCGTTCTGCTACGCCATTCTGCTGAGGCGTGCCAGGCGCAGTCAGCTGGGACGTAATCCCATTATCCGACAAGTAGCTCCTAAACTCATTCGAGAGATATTCGCCACCACGATCGGATCGTAATGACTTGATACTTTTTCTTAACTGCTTCTCCACAACTGCCTTATACTCTAAGAACTTCTCAAAGCATTCAGACTTGCGGTGCAGAAGGAAAATGTACCCATATCTCGAGTAATCATCGATAAACGTAACGAAGTACTCGAAACCACCTCTCGCTTGAATACTCATAGGACCACATAGATCGGATTGAACTAGCCCTAACACATCTTCGGCTCTATGCCCCTTTGAACTGAAAACCCTCTTAGTCATTTTACCTTCCAGGCAAGACTCACAAGTTGGAAGAGCCTCGACTTCTAATTACCCCAAGGGCCCGTCTGCTACCAACCTTTGAATCCTCCTAAGGTTAATATGACCAAGTCTTAGATGCCAAAGATATGTTTCGTTCATTTTAGAAGGTTCCTTTCTCTTATTCAGATTAGATGATAAGTAATTGTTTCTGTTGCAGTGGAGATGACTTAGATTCTAGAATGTATAGATTGTCAACTAATGAACCAGAACATATGAACATTTTACCAAAACGAATAACAACTTTATTATCAAACGTAGCAGAAAAACCATTCATAAACAACTTAGAAACTGAAATCAAATTCTAACATAAAGACAATCTTTCAAAACTAGTAACCTATCTGAGCCAAAATCTAAATATACGTCTCCCACTACAACTGTTGACGCTCTACTAGCATCGCCCAAGTAGATGGTAACTTCTCCTTCCCTAAGTCGCTTGGTTTCCTGGAACCCCTGCAATGAATTGCAGACATGATCAGTGGCCCCCGTATCTACACACCAGGTACTGGTAGATAACACCGCTAAACATGTTTCCACGACTAAAGCAAAAGAAGTACCTTTTTCGGGTTTCTTGGGAAGAGGGCAGTTTGTCTTCCAGTGTCCTTTCT